TCTCCGACTCAGAGAATAAGATGGAGAATATTTTATTGCCCTTATATAAATCCGTGGTATGCCCACAACTTGAATACTGCATACAGATGTGGTGTCCTCACTGCAAAAAAGGCATACTGGCATTAGAAAAGGTTCAGAGAAGGGCAACTAAAATGATTAGGGGTTTGGAATGGGTCCCATATGAGGAGAGATTAAAGAGGCTAGGACTTTTCAGCTTGGAAAAGGGGAGATTAAGGGGGGATATGATAGAAGTATATAAAATCATGAATGGTGTGGAGAAAGCGAATAAGGAAAAGTTATTTACTTGTTCCCATAATATAAGGACTAGGGGCCACCAAATGAAATTAATGGGCAGCAGTTTAAACCAAATAAAAGGAAGTTCTTCTTCACACAGCACACAGTCAACCTGTGGAACTCCTTGCCTGAAGAGGTTGCGAAAGCTCGGATTATAAAAGGGTTTAAAAGAGAACTAGATAAATTCATGGAGGTTAAGTCCATTAATGGCTGTTAGCCAGGATGGGTAAGGAATGGTGTCCCTAGCCTCTGTTTGTCAGAAGGTGGAGATGGATGGCAGGAGAGAGATGACTTGATCATTGCCTGTTAGGTTCATTCCCTCTGGGGCACCTGGCATTGGCCACTGTCGGTAGACAGGATACTGGGCTGGATGGATCTTTGGTCTGACCCAGTATGGCCATTCTTATATTCTTGTCTTCTTAAGGACCTAGCTGCCTGGGAGCAGGGTACCAGAGGTAGAGCAGTGCTGGGGGAAGGCAAGACGAGCTGAGGAGCTCCAGCCTGGCAACTCCCCAGGCTGCAGGCCTTGTGCAAGGCCTCAAGAAGGTACTGGGGCTGCAGAGGTGCAGTCCGGGGTTAGGCAGAGGCAGTTGGTCCAAACCCCCTTGCCGATGATGAGTGGCCATTACGGACTGCAGTTTGCCCCAGTGAGCGGGGGCTAGATGACAACTGGCAGTAGCCACTGAGGCAAGGTGGGGACAGAAGGGTGGGGGTTCCCCTGGGAGGGGAAACCCAAAGTAAGGGGGTACTGCTGGGGGCAGCACCCTGAGGAAAGGGGCACCGGGGTCCGGGAGGGACATGGGGGGCCTGAGGCAGGTGAGACACCGGCCAGTTGGAGGTGCTCTGTATGTTGGAGAGCTGAGTCCCGAGACGACCAGAAGGAGACGCCGCACCGGTGTGTCTCGACTTCACTACAAGTGCAGGTTAAAAATAATGTTTAGAATTTGTTGCTCTCACCCACCATCCTTTTATGTGTTAGGGAGAGTTCAGTTCAGCATTTCCAGCCTTGTAGAGCCACTTTTAACTCGTTCTGCAGACTGATGGTACTGGAGTCTGTTAAGAAACTTTCTGACCCAGAGGCTGCTCTGTGGGCTCTGGAATCTGCCAGCATTTCTCCTGCCTCTTTTTTTCCCTTTATATGCTTTAAAACTGTTTCTGCTCATGGAGGCTCAGTCTTAAGGCTTAGTTCTGTGGATTCAGACTGGTTTGGTCTTTTTAAAAAATCTTCTTACACCGTCTTCATTTACCCCTCCCCCGCACCTGTTGCAAAGGACAAGATTAAACCAGGGTTACGTTTGCTGACTTAACCCAGCCCTGTAAGTTCCTTCTTTTATTGGCACTTGCCACAAGGATTGCCCGGAAGCATCTGCCTTTGTTTAATGTCAGCTAATATGAACATGTCAACAGTTCTGTTTACCTTCAGCAATGAAACAGTTTTGTAACGAAACGTTCCTTCCTTCAAAAATCCACCACAGCTGGTACAATTAGTATTTGGGACAAGTGCCCGAATCGAATCTAGAAACCTAGAGGAAACAAGGTGAAGAATGAAATCAGGTTCAATGACATGGACTCTGTCTCCAGTTGTCCTAAATATGGTTCGACTTATGGCACACAGTAGTGTCCTATATGTGAATGAAACCATGAATGGACTTTGATATATTTTTTTTAAATGTGGCCAAGGCTGGTTGATATGTCAACTGCATGTATTACCTTAATTATTAATTATTATTAATTTTTATTTGTATTGCAGTAACACCTTGAGGTCCTAACCAAGATCAGGGCTGCATGGTGCTAGGTGCTGTACAAACACATAGCAAGAGACCATCCGTACCCCAAAGAGTTTAAAGCCCATATAGACAAAGGCTGGAAAGGAAAACAGAAACCCAGAAGTGAAAGAGAGGTTTAGTGGCACACCCAGGAATAGAACCCAAAGGTCCTCACTCTCCGTTCACTGCCTCACCTATTTGAGGATGCACTGAAAATAAGAGTGCCAAAATAGCACAAGTTGATCTCATGCTATGTCCAGCCCATCTGGAACCAAGGAGTATCAGAAATCTTTGGACAGAGGCTATTCCAAATAATTTCCAGACCAATGTTATGGTCCCTCCCTAGAGCACAATCTCTCATGGCTCACTGAACTGCCATGTAATGTCTCAGCTGAAGCAGAGTTCAAGCCAAATTCTGCTCTCAGTGACATGTCTTAGTTGGGGATTGGTCCTGCTTTGAGCAGGGGGTTGGACTAGATGACCTCCTGAGGTCCTTTTCAACCCTGATATTCTATGATTCTATGCCTGAAAACACATTGATTTCACTGGGGTTGCATGTGAGAGAAGAATTTGGTCTGGTAAATCCAGGAAGGGGTAGAAGACTTCAGTGACTTTTAGCACTGACCCCTATGTAGAAGGCCCAACATTCTGCTAGCTGTTGATACATTGAGTCACTTAATCATAACAGGTGGCTGGTTGCTGGAGCAGGGGCTGTCTCTTATGTGTGTCTTGAGATTGGCCCAGCACTTCACTGCATTGAATGAATAATACTATATTGCAGCTAATAGCATCTACATCTTTTGACAGACAGCTCCTCTGCTCTCCACTCTGATGCATACGTTTCATTTTTAACAAGAAACATTTTCTAAATCAGCTGCACATGCTAAACTTGCCACAGCCGCGCTGGGTGCAGTAAGTTTGGTTTGCATGCAGCGTCTTTAGTCCAAAGTATCCCAACCGGGACTTTCAGCGAGAGATAAAACGAGGTAACAGTACACCAGAATTAAGTAGAGTGACTCATGCAGATACCAAGGCAAACAAACCAAATCAAACACACCAACATACAGACGTGGAACGGAGCAAATAGAAGAGGGAAAAAAACCCTGTCATTTAAAAGCTGGAAATAATCAGTTAAGGCCACCCTCTTTAGGAAGATATTATTCACCCTTAGTATCATCTAACTCTGACCTCTATCGATTAACAAAAGAGCCATTTAGATGTGAAGAGGGGAGAAGCACACATCTGAAGGAAGATTTTACCTTTATTTTTCTTTCAGTCATTCAGTTGGCTTCAGATCAAATCCATAGATATCATAGACAGAAATGAGTTATTAGGTCAGCTAAGTCCATACTCTAGTCAGTGCAGGATTGTTCCCTACAGTACCTGTTCTAGATTTTACTCCAGTCTAGTTTTGAATAGGAAGGCCGTGTGGTTCACAGGATAGGACCCTGAGCTGGGACTCAGAAGCCATGGATTGTATTTTTAGCTCTTACACTCTTGCCGGGTGCCCTTGGATAGTTGCTTTGTCTGGGCTTTGTAGGCCAGTGTCAGAGGGAGGAATAGACTAGAAAGTCAATGGGATTTGGGCATCGAATCTGACAAATGAGCCATACTTTATACATGATACATTAGTAATAGTACTCATTGCAGTTTCTCTGTCAGGGATGGTCTAGATAATACTTAAAAAGAAGAACAGGAGTACTTGTGGCACCTTAGAGACGTCTCTAAGGTGCCACAAGTACTCCTGTTCTTCTTTTT